CTATCAAGCAGAAGTCAAGCCGACTGAAAGTGTTGATAATGGTGAAGTGGAACCAAATATAGACATCAAAGCAGAACAGGAGAAAGACCAAGATTGAAGCCAATAATTGATTTTCTAAAAGCAAGTGTTTTGCGCCCTGCTTGGGAGAAGTTTGTCTAGTCTAAGCCCTGTGACAAAGAACTATTGGGCACAATGGGACCAGTTGAGGCTTGAAGATGGCATTCTTCTCCAGAGATGGGAAACTGCAGATGGGAAAGTGACGACCTGGCAAACGGTTATACCGAGAAAGTTACGGTAAGTTGTGTTGCATCAATCCCATGATAGTTTAACAGGAAAACATCTAGGAGTTAAGAAGACATTGAGTCATCTACGACACAGATTTTACTGGATAGGCAGGTATGAGGCAAGATGTGGAAGAATGGTGCAGGACCTGTAGTACATGTTGTGCTAAAAGGGGACATAAGCATAAGGGACATGCTTCAATGAAGTTATATCAAGTTGGCACACCAATGGAAAGAGTAGCCATTGACATTGCTGGTCCTTTGCCCCAAACTCGTGCTAGAAACAAGTACATTTGTATGGTGATGGATTATTTCGTCAAGTGGCCTGAGGCATATTCAATACCAAATCAGGAAGCTACAACTGTAGCTTTGGCTATTAGTGATTTCTTCTTCAGATTTGGTATGCCATACGAACTGCATTCAGGTCAACTTTGAATCAGCTGTGTTCCAAGAATGCTGCAAATTGTTTGGCATCCAAAAGACCAGGACAACACCACTTCACCCACAGTCTGATGGGATGGAAGAAAAGTACAATTGGACACTTGGACAGGAATTGGCAAAGTTTTGTAATAGCTGCCAAGATGACTGGGATGTCTTACTCCCTCCACTGTTGATGGCCTTTAGAACAGCAGAGCATGAAGCCATTGGATACACTCAAGTAAAGCTGATGTTTGGTCGGGAACTTTGGTTGCCAATAGACCTGATAACAGGACGCCCACCTTATGAAGAGTTGCCTGAAAATGTGTCAGAGTTCGTGAAAATGTTGTCGGAAAGGATGGATGATATTCACCATCAAGTGCATTCAAACTTGAAAACGTCTGCTGATTCCATGAAGCTATTTTATGGTAAGAGATCTACTGAAGTCAGCTTTGTACCAGGAGACAAGGTGTGGTTGTATAATCTCAGGAAGACCAGGGGAAGTCTCCTAAGTTGCCTTCTCCATGGGAAGGCCCATATGACATAGTGGATCGTCTCTCAGACGTGACTTGCCGAATAAAATGTGTACATATTCTATAACTGATAACTGGAAATATGACTACAAAGAGAGGTGATTGTATAACAAGGAATTCTTGTATGGAGTTATCGTGTTCAAAATCCTTTCTATACTAAATCTCGAAGACTTGAATGCTCAAATGTCCAGTTAATGCAAAACCAAATTTGACCTTAAAAAAGAGGCCAAAATGTAAATTGGCATTCCTTTTTGAATATAGAATATTGGTGTTTTTCTATGGAAATATACAAAAACACAATGCTATATACCCCGTATTTCTCCTTCAGATATATATTTGTTCTTCAGCTGAGTTCAACTCTCTCTCTCTTATTCCTCTTCACCAGGATTTAGTCCATATTTTGGACCAGGCAAGGTCAGGTTCAGTGTAGACCTCTTCCTACCTCTTTGGAATTGTTATTTTGTTTGTACTGTTACTGAATCATAGGTAATAACCCTTGTTACTTTGTTGTTGCATTACTCACAGTATTTTAAATTTTGTCCATTGTCCGAAAGTTTTAATTAACATGCTGTTATGTGTCTGCTCGTTTGTTAATTTCCGGTATAAAATCTTTCCGAGGAACTTCAGCGATACAAGTCCTTTCTTAATTAAAACTAGTTTATTCTTTCTCGATACAACTTTGTAGTACACAGAATTTCCACAGTCACTTTAAATTTAACAACCTTTATAACACACGCTATAAATAACAGTGATTCACACACTTTACTTACTGTGCTTACTGTTCGCTTGACTCAATTATATATCTCTTCTGATCTATCTATCTCTGCAATCGCGCTAGTTTTTCTCGCCAGGCTTATATACTAAAAAAGAGGGCGCCTCT